TATTATATTTATTTTACTTACTATTTATTATACCAATAATCTACATAATACCACCTAGTCATAATATGTGTTATTTTATATAAAATGTCTACTGATTTTCATAACTTAAATATTTTAATCTCATTTCTTCGATTGTCATAGCTTAATATTTTTATTTTACTAGGTATATTGAAAATAAATTTAGGTATACAGTTTATGAATTGTTACAAATATTTATTACAGAATCGACCACCCACCTCACACATGGACACCTCATGAAGAACCAACCACCGTCAGAATGCACCACGTAATGCGGAGTAACCATCTCAGTCAAACACTTGATGACAGAATGAAGAAGAAGAGAAAAACTAAATATACCAACCAACTTATACGAATTAATGGGACCCGACTGTCAACCCGAAAAAATCATGTCATTCCTCAGGACAACCAAAATAGATAAATACATTTAAGTAGAATAAATATAGTCAACAGCCCTTAGTATTGTAATTAAATTGTCACCTAAAACATGTAAGTTTTAAGTAATAGTATAATGTAAATTATGTATAAAGCTAATGGCCCATGTCGCCGAAGCTATAAAGATCAATAAAAAAAAAAATTATTGACACCTCAAATTAAACATATTTTAGTTTCTTTAAAGTTATTTAGTTTTGATCATTTTTGTACTTCTGAATTTCTGTTTATTGTTTTTTTAATTTTAAATATTTATTCGTTATGAATATTAATTTTTTAACTAACATTATTCATACATTAAAATATATAATATTTATTTTTTAAAGAAAAATGGATGTTTTGGATAAATCTATAAACTCGATCTAAATTTATTTGTTTACTAACTATTTGTACTAATGTACATTGTAATTAACATGTTATAATTATTTTGACAGAATATTGTGTTTATATAAAATCACTTACTTCGAAATGCCCACATTGTCAAGTTCTGCATGTGTATGTTGTATAGTCTCATGTCATTGGCACATTTTAAATTTGYTTGTGGAGCCAACCAAGGAGCACCATATAAGACGTTTGAGATAATCTGACCCAACAAAAGTGGTCTTCCAGAAAACATTTTGATGGTATCTTTCTGTCGGGAAAGTTCAAGGCTCCTAGATTTGGAAATTTTTATCCTCTGTATCCATGGGTTTTCAGCAACTTTGTTACCTATGGTTAAAAACTCAGCTGGCTGCGTAGTTTTTGTGACTGACTCATTTTTTACGACGTATGAAACCTCCAAATCTGGTTTTTCAGTGTTCGTGGAATCATTTACATCATATGAAACTTCTGTTTGGGATTGTACGTAGAAATTGATTGGGTCTAATGGATTATCTGTCTGAGAAGGTAAGTTTTCGATGCTTAGTTCACCATCCACCTTTATTGAATCATCTGCTGTAAAGAGTTTTTCAATAATCGGCTCTTCTTCGAGGTTTAGTATTGAACTGGTTTCATTCACTTCTTGGCCAAGTATCGATGGTACCGTGGTGAATATGTTATCATCCGAAAGAGTTATTGCTGATACTAATTCAGCTTTACTGTCTTGATCTGCAGAAGAAAGTGAAAATTCCGATGCCGAAATATTTTTTATGAAACATGACAGATGTAGAACCAAAACTATTAAATTAACCACAGATGAAAATGATGAGACGCGGAAATGCATATTTGCTTATCCCACGCACCTTTTTAATTTTACTTCTAGTGTACAACAACAATGAGCTTTAATCTGACGTTAAGCCTTATTAATATGCGTAATATATTACGTTGATATTTGCAGGACAGGTTTTTGAAGCTGTCACGACTCGTTCAGGTAGACACTACAACTGGTTTGTGTCGTTGTTATATACGTACTGACAAACGGAAATACATACAACGAGACATTGCTGGCAAGTTTAGACAACACGATAGCCTTAACATACGTTCAATTGGTTGCAGTTACGTTTATAAGTTTTGGTCTCATCAAAACAAGATTACTTTTCAAGTTCATGAGATGATATTATATCCTGTACATGTATGACATTGCAGTTTGTTTATAATTTGCCTACAAAAATAATAATATATTATTTTCAATATGCAAAAATGTACTTTTTTTT